GAAATTCTAAAGAACCATGGCAGGTAATGCAGAGAAGCTTTGCATGAAGGGCAAAACCTTCAAGAGCTGTTTTTCAACTCTAACTCTAGTTCCAAAGTGCTGGATGGCCATTGATTATAAATCAAACCCCATATTCCTTCATAGGAAATCTATTGTGTTAATATTTCCTAATGACTAGCATTTAATAAAGTAGCATGCATTTATATTGAGATACCATCCAAACATTCAGGGGTTGAGTGACAGACTTTGGTTGAATAGCAATTCACAGTTAAAAAGATCAACTTACATGTTTGTGGTCTGACTTCAATGTAGTTCTGTAGGGAGAAGTGAAATGCCTCATAAGGGCTCTCTTGGGAACATCAGTACAATTCACACAAACCAAATGGCTTGGCGGACATTCTCTGATGATGAAAATATTTGACATCTGTGATGATTGAGCACTTGAAATGTGGTTAATGTAACCAAGGCACTGAATACTTAACTGGACATAATTTTAATTAATTTAAATTTGAATTTAGATAACCACAACCAGTATTGGATAGCTCATGGTGGCAAAAAATCAAAATGGCTTTTTCTTCTTTTTTCTTTTCTCTCCACCTCCTTTTATTTCTCTTGCTTTGTCTCACCTTACCTTTTCCTCTCCAACTCCATGATTACTGGATAAAATAAGAGTGCAAAGAAGACATTAAGGAAGGTGGCTCCTGAGGAACTAGGGAAAAAGCAATCACTGTCTGAGAAATGAATTCCGTGGTGGGGTTTGGGTGGGGCTACTCCAGCTTTAGGGAGTTGTCAGCACAGTCTGGCTTTTTCTACCTCTCAGGAATGTTGGAGGCATTAATCGAGTAATACTTGGACTGAGTTACAAAGCAGTTATTTATTAACAGCAATAAATGTTGTGATGGAAGGTACTGTGGAGTATTGAGTAATTAAACACACTAAAGGGAAGTTGGCCTATGACACCTAGCCATAGCAGGCTAAATAGTTATACTATTATTGGAAAACATAATGCAATTTATAGTGTGGCAGAATCCAAGATTCTGGACAAAGCAAGTATCACTAAAATGTATTTTTTTCTCCTTTCAACCTTATAGGCAATATTGATAAACCAGGTACGTCATTGCCTACCTGGGCCATAATTCTACTTGCAGTATCATTTTCATTGCTGTTGATCCTGATCATTGTTCTGATTATAATATTCTGCTGCTGTTGTGTGTCTGGGAGAGAGAAAAAAGGTAATTTTTTTGTTCATTTAGATTTGTATATATTTTTGAACTTCTGGTACAAGCCGTTGACGTTAACAAGTTCATCTGCTCTTTCAAAAGACATTAACCACAATGAGATATCATCTCACACCTGTTACAATGGCTGTTACCAAAAAGAGAAAACATAACAAGTGTTGGTGAGAATGTGGGGAAAAGGGAACTCCTGCACACTGTTGATGGGAATGTAGATTAATACCGCCATTATGGAAAACAATATGGAGATTCCTCAAAAAATTAAAAATACAACTACCATTTAATCCAGCCATCCCACTTATAGGTATATATCCAAAGGAACCAAAATCAGTATGTTGAAGAGATGACTGCACTTTCCTGTTCATTGCACCATTATTCGTAATAGCCAAGCAATAGAATCAACCTAGGTGTTCACAACAGACAAGTGAACAAAGGAAATGTGGTGTATATACACAATGGAATACTATTCAGCATTGAAAGAGAAGGAAATCCTGCCATTTGCAATGACATGGATGAATCTGGAGGACATTATGCTAAGTGAAATGAGCCAGGCACAGAAAGACAAATTCTTCACTATCTCATTTATATGTGAAATCTAAAAAAGTTGAACTTATAGAAACAGAATAGAATGGTGTGGGATGGGGGTGGGAGGGTTGGGGAGATGTTGGTCAAAGGGTATGAAGCTTCAGTTAGACAGGAGGAGTAAGTTCTGGAGATCTATTGTACAGCATGGTAACATAGTTAATGGTAATGTATTGTATACTTGAAAATCGCTAAGAGAATAGATCTTAAGTGTTTGCACCACAAAAAAGTGATAAGTATATGAAGTGATAAGTATGTTAATTACCTTGATTTAATCATCTCACAATGTATGCATGTATCAGAACATCAGTTGTACACTGTAAGTGTATACAAGTTTTATTTGTGAGTTATACCTTTAGAAACTTGGAAAACAACAACAAACAAAGCAAAAACAAAAACAAAAGATTCATTGGCTTGTCAGTTTTATTTATCTTTTCAAAAAACTAACTTTTTGATTCATTGATCCTTTGTATTGTTTTTTGGGTTTCAATTTCATTAAGTTCTGC